GGAGGAGGATGAGGAAGAAGAGGAAGAGGAGGAGGAGAAACAGGGGGTACATCTTTTCATAGACCACAGCGCTGAAGAGGATAATGGTGAGGAGGAGGAGGATGGCGAGGAGGATGTAGAAGGTGAAGAGGAGGAGGATGTAGAAGGTGAAGAGCAGGAGGATGGAGAAGGCGAGGAGGAGGGTGGAGAAGGCGTAGAAGAGGAGGAATATGATGAGGTTGAGGATGAAGATGAGGACCTCTCCATGGAAAGCGACTTGGAGGAGCGCCGTGAGGACACCAAGCTGCCCCACGAGCTCTCCTGGGGCCAGCGCAAGCAGCTCTACTACGACACGGACTACGGGAGCGACGCCCAGGCCAAGGGCAAGCGCAAGCAGCAAGAAATCGATGCTGAGGAGGAGGAAGAGGAGCAGGAGGCTCAAGTCATCCAGAGGAGGTTGGTGCAAGGCTTGGGGGAGGACGATTACGGGCTGGATATGATCCAGGGCTACCTGGCCGAGCAGCGGAAAACCCAAGATAGCAAGGGGCAGAAGATTGACAAGGATTTGCAGGCCCTTCCCAAGAAGGAGCAGCTGAAGCTCCTGAAGCAGGAGTCCCCCGAGCTCCTGCAGCTGATTGAGGACTTTGAAGTCAAGCTCATGGAGCTGAAGGACGAGCTGCACCCGCTGCTCCAAATGGTCCGCAACGGGACCATCCCACAGGGGAAAGGCAGTCGGTACCTGCAGACCAAGTACCAGCTCTACCTCAGCTACTGCGCCAACATCAGCTTCTACTTGCTTTTGAAGGCCAAGAGGATGGCTGTGCACAGCCACCCCGTCATCGAGCGCCTGGTGGCTTACCGAAATCTCATCAACGACCTGGCCATCATCGATCAGAAGCTCTCCCCGCAGGTCCGCGTCCTCTTGAAAAGCTACTATGACAAGAAGGAGGACAAGTTGAGGAAAGAGAAGAAGTTCGCCGTCTTCCTCCCGCTGGAGGTTAAGAAGAAGAAGGCCAAACGGGCTCCTGCGCTCGCCAACGGCCGGGGGGCGGCTGAGGAACCCTCGGATGAGTCGGACCTGGATGAAGAAGCTGCCTTGAAATATTATAAGGTGATGGAGGAGAAATTGAAACTCAAGAGGAAGAGAAATGAAGACCACGAGGGGCTTGAAGAAGAAGAAGAAGCAGCGTTGGAAGGCGAGGACCCCGGTAAGAAGAGAGGTGTGACCTACCAGATGATCAAGAACAAAGGCCTCACGCCCAGAAGGAAGAAGATCGATCGCAACCCCAGGGTGAAGCACCGGGAGAAGTTCCGACGAGCCAAGATCCGCCGCAAGGGCCAGGTGCGGGAAGTGCGGCGGGAGCTGGAGAGATACTCCGGGGAGCACTCGGGCATCCGCGCCGGGGTCAAGAAGAGCAGGAAACTGCAATGAGACTTATTTATCTCTCTTTCCGAGAGCTGCCCGTAGCACTACGGAGTCCAATAAATTTTTTTATAAAAGATACTGTGGTTTTTATCCTTAAGAAAAGTGGGGCTGGGGGTGGTATTTGGTTGTTTTTTGTTTTTTTCAGGTGATGCTTTTCAGGAGGTGCCACCTGTAAAAGTAGCACAGGGCCTTTTCCTCGCCCGGAGCTGCAGAATGAGATACA